GCGGCTCTCTCTCGCATCAAAAGCAGAATCGCGCGATGGAGTCGGTGGTCGAATCCCGTGTACTTAGAAATAACTGCGACATCGGTTAGGAAAAAATCTTCAATTGGAGATGATGTGGTCGATCTCATTATGGAATTGTCCACCAGGAGACTCCCATGTCCAGCGTAGAGAGTAGGGCTTCTGGAACTGCGAGTTACCATGGATGGTATGGGTCGACATGATAAACTCAGACAGCCTTTCACCCTGCTCATTCCACTCCATTCCGTGAGTTCCGATGTGAAGTTCTTCAGCCGTTCTTCTTGGTCCGATATTAGCACTAAAATCTGAAGGCTGACATCTAAAATCTACACCTTGAAGAAGCTATGGTCTTTCTTGTAGAACTTCTCCAATTCCATGTGGAATATAGTGTAGTTCGCTGCGGACGGTGGGGCGTGTCAGGCAGTATGAGTGTGCCACGGTGAAAAACCCGTTCTCTGCCAGTTGTTGAAGCAGTTACGCGACAACAGTTGTTGGGAAACGAGTGATACGAACGACATGATACAGTCTTGTCACTTGCTCGCTTGGTGGAGAACGGGTTTGGCACCGTGCCAAACTCATCCTGCCTGACACGCCCCACCGTCCGCAGTGAACTACTATACTTCGAGCTCATCCTCGTCGTAGCTTGATGTTGGTGCGTAGGCGACGAAGATTGTCAAAGCTGGAGTTGAACCACATCTTCTCAATCGCGAACGTCCGATTCGGGTCGTCAGATTTTCGTACGAATCGATGTTCATGGCCAAGTGCGTGTTGACGAGGACGCTACACCGCCAGCGCCTCTTCTATCGCATGTTTCAGGGAACAGTCCTTGTACTGTTCCGTATACGGCATGTAGTGAGCGATGCCTTCACGTATCGGTCAGTGCGATGACGTCGTACTTGATGCTCCTGGCTTGCAGCATCAGATCTTCGGATTCCCAAAAGCGTTCTAGGCGGCTTGATTCTCCAGTGGCCCTGAAATGCTTGCAGCCTCACCTAAGCGGTCCCAGCCGACGCCGCTCTGTCGGTGGTTCCCACAGGTTCGGGGAATGCCCATATTTTTTCCTGTTTTCAGCATATCTGTAAGGAAACCTCGCTTTGCTTGTCAGGCTCTAACGTGACACCTTCCACTTTGGGGTCCCAAACAGATCAAATCGTTCACCCTCATGCCGTCTTGAGGAAATGCCTTTGAGGAGGGGGATAAGGCGAGGAAGCGAAAGCATTGGCTATTCTGCTTCCCATCCGGATCAGGGACTGCCGAGGCCGTGACTAACATAAGTGGTGTTGGTGTGGGCTCGCTGCGCGCACGCACTCAGTTTTCCGCGCATTTGGAGGTGCTGTATACAGCTTGCTTTTTTGAACATTACAGTTTGGTAATACAACCAAAATTGTGGTTGACTCGCATGCATTTCCTTGCTTAATCCATCTATTTTGCATTTCTCGGCGTAGCTTCTAGCACTCTTGTTACTCAACAACAGAGTGAAAAAAAACATGCACGTACTAATCGTTCCAGAAAAATTAGATTTTATTGCAGGATTCTGGTTGTTTTGAGAAGCCTTCTGACTTTTTTCATATTCCTTTTTGAGGAGAGGAGTGGACGACGGCACAAGGATTCGTATTTGTTTGTGGAGATAAAGGCAAAGAGCAACTCAAAGGATGCAAAGCGTCTGGCGTATTCCATGAGAAAGACAAGCCGTTCGCGGTAGGTCTACATTTTCCGCGACTACGGACTTTGTACCATTTATTTGTTACAATCTGACTGGTGTACACTGTCGCGTGCATCACATGAGAACCCTACAAATCCTATCAGGACATGGCATCTTCCCTCCCAAGAATTTTCTTCACTGTGTACCGTGCACTTTCGCGTTCCAGGCGCAATACACGCCCTCCTCCTGCTCGATAGCCGGCATTAGGCAGTAAAATTGCAACTATTCAATCTAGAAACACGCGAATATTTTATCTGTTTTTGCAGGAGCACCAATATGGTCGTAGTAATAGTGAGCTCTCCTGACGACGCCGGTATTTCACCTTATCAGCCCCAATCAGTTGTTAACTTTATGTGACCCATCATTAACATTCCTGTCACAACCACTACATCACTTTTTGGAACTAACTTCTGGGGAGAAGTGCTATGAATATTGTGGTAGCAGACACACAAACACACACACTGTGCGAGAGGAGATACGAATTTTTGTGGGTGGCAACACAGCCACACACACACACACACACACGGACGCACGCACAACACACACACATACATACAGGGGGGGGGGCAAAAAAAGTCATTCCGGCCGAGTCACATATGAGCGAAGTTTTCGCAGCCCAGACAGAGGAAGTGGATATGAGTACCAGGGCGGAAGATACCCAAGATCTTCCTCTATAAGCTGGAGCAGCCGCCAATCGCCTTCATGTACACCAAAATATGAAGTCATCTCCAGTCGCGGCCTGACTGGAGAACACCTTTGGAATTCATGCCACCCCCAAACAGCTGCGAAACTTTAGTATGGAGTCACCCATGGATAGCTACCTGGAGACCAGTACTCTTGATCTGCAAGACCTCAAACATCGAGCAGCTCCGGCAACGTCGCTACGGTCCAGGACATCATCTTCACCCCATTCACCAAGGCGCGGGTTGATGGTGTGGACCGGCCGTACCTGGAATGGGAAGACCGATATTTTCTTTGTAGACCCCGACTGAAGGTGAGCGCTGGCTCAGCTTATTCAGTCAAGTAACTCGAGAAGGATATCCTCCCTACATGTGGTCGCCCGTACCTTCTTGGAGACCTTGTGCTGCTACAGGTTTGGGTGCCACCACATGGAATCGAAGGGTTTTGGAAAAACTCCCGCCTACTTCGAATGGAAGAACGTTGAGTACCTGGAAAAGATGGAGTATTTAAGCGGGGGTCCTGAACTCAACCAATTACGCGGTTCGGGCGGAGCTCAACAGGGTGGTCTACAGTGGCGGAGAAATCAACGATCTCGCTCAACTCCGGTACCCACTCACTTTCGCGCGGCCGAATCTCTCGATGGCGCTCCTCCAGAAGGCTGTGGCGGAGTATCATTATAGTATTTAATGTGCTCTTTAATATGGTAGTAAAATGTCCGATAAAAATTTAATAAAGTGTAACTTATAGCGCCTTGAAAGTCATGGAGGCAAAATGACTTTTTTTTTTGCCCCCCCCCCCTGTACACAACCACAACAACACACACATAAGCAGCTTGCCCATTTCGGAAAAATAGTGCAAGTCGGCAGAACAGTCTCGGCATACATTCTAAGGTCACGCTCGCCTCACAGAATAAAAATCAGGCAAAGCGAGATCCTCCCATGCAAGCAGAGACTCTATCCCACCAATTTGCAGCACTTTACAAAGTTGGGCTGGGCTCCTACGAAGTGAACGGAGCTTCCACACTGGGCGGGGCCTCGCGTAGCACTCCAAAAATACAAAATTCTTGAAGGGGATCTGAATTTCGCAAAAGCCGGAAGGGTGGGCGTGGCTGAGCGGGGACCTCTATAGTGTGACACTCGATGAGTGGCGCATCTACGCGAAGCAAAGGCGAATTTCTTCGAAAAGACATGAATTTATGTGTGAAAAGTCTGGCAAGGTCTGGCAAGTCGTGAATTTCTTTTGAGGGTTTGACTTCAAAGTGAAAATGGCTTATATAGTGTGAGTATTAGGATGCCATGTTGTCTGTCAATGTGGTCCCATTTGCTATCGTCTCTTATAACCGCTGATCACTTCCGGCCATTCTGCACTGGGCTAATCACGTTGTTCTGTACCCTACAAAGGCAAGGTAAAACAATCATAGGACTTTCCGTTCTAGATTGCAGCGATCATGTCCTTTTACTGCTATCAGGCCCACCGTGTCAGGAAATGTCAGCTGGAAATGAGTACTTGTGAAGAAGGCGCATTAATGTCCAGAAGAAAAGTAGGCATCCGGTGACGAGGGAGGAAAAATATGGTAAAGGGACGAGCTTGGAGAACACATTCATTACCGAATTTTTCTGCCGACTAGTTTTGACGTTGTACTCGCCTCTGAGATTGGCTTTCTGATCCCGGGTATGTGGCAAGAGAATCGTAATTCGCCGCGCCAGTGGGCGTCGCGTGCGACGTCGCGCCGCTAATGACGACGATTTTAGGTGGTATTGGTCGAGAATAGACAATGTATGACCAAAAATAGACATAAGTGTCTACCATGTCCTTGTCTACATGAAATCCGATGCTCCAATCGAAAGGGTAGTGCAAATTGAGGAAACGTCGCACCCATTGCCGCGCGCGACGATACGGCAGTTAACGGTTCTATTGCCCTCCTTCCCTCAGATCCCGGGCTTGCATGCAAGACCATTGATCCTTTTTGGATCGTAACAGAATTTTTTGGGGTTTACGCACACTGTAGCATTCATGTGAAAAGTGGCCTATATTTGATGACGTTCACTTTCAGCTCGCAGATTTTAATCTGGTATGTCGTGAAGTAAACGGCCAGGCACGTCGTGACCCTGCAGAATAGGAATTCAGAATAGAAATTACCGTTTAATGAAGCTTTTTTCACATTTTTCTATTTGTTCTGTTGTTGAATTACACGCAAAGGTGCGCAATATAACTCGGGAAAAATTCTTCTCGACCTTCGGGAATTTTTTTTTCAAATGTAATTCCGGCCCTCGCCCCTCTCCTTACAC